AGGAAAAGTAGAAAAACATCTGCCAGGCTTCTCTGTTGGAGTGCAAACTACTTGAGCAAGAAAACTGCTGCTGCATATTGCTCTTTTCTCTCTTATCTGAGCTTAAGCTATTAAGCATCTTACCCTCAAACTGTGGCTTGTAAGAATTCAAGGAAGAAAGCTGGATGCTTTAACCCCCTTGCTAGAAAAGCCTTGGTGGCATCTTTAAAAATAGCCTGAGAGTCTCTTGAGTGCCGACAGCCTTGTAGCAGGGTGGAGACTTCACTTCAACTTATTTATTTTCTCACCTACTTAGAACTTAAAATCCTCCCTAAAACCAGCATAATCTTTAAATTTTAATTCAAAATGAACTGCAAGTGTGGAAAACTCCCTCCCACCACCAAAACGGCCAAAACGCCCAATAATAATAATAAAAAAATCCACGGAGAACAACAAAAACAAATTAGAATTGCAAATATGCCATGTAGAAGGTTGTCCATAACTAAAGAAAAATTATACATATAGCCTGTTTTAACTATTACTTTAACTAATATCGTTTAAAAATTTGGAAGGTGCTCTGTTTCATTGAATAAGAAGTTGAAAACTTTTAAGCTTATGGACGAACATAGTTCAAGCTTATAGACAAGCATGCTTTGCTTCTTATTTGGATAGACATTATGAAAATAAATGTTGTAGGAACACTTAAATGATAGAACTTATAAAGTATTTATAATGCGCCGCGCATTATAAATGTTAAATATGTGATTTGAATTATTAAATAAACATGAAGCGTAACCTGATGTGTAGCATTTAATGGGACGATGGATCTTAGGCTATATTTTGGACATGTTATGAAAATGGATCTTTTTATGAATGAAAAAATGTGTCTTGTGAGAAACAACAAAGACTTGCCAATAAAATTAATTGAGAAAATTAAAATATATATGAAAAACATAGAGAATGAACTAGGTCAATATGAAATGTATGCTAAAAGAAATATGATTTTTTTTTTTTTGTCATACTTAATTATTTTAGTGCATTTTAAAAGTTGGCTCAGATGTTGCTATTTTATATATAAATAGCTCATGTCGTTATTAATGTGTTCTAAAATATTATAATCCCAAAAACAACATTCTTTTTTGGCATACAGTTACGTATATATAGTACCACTATTAGTATTGTTTTATAATCAATAAAGCTTAACTGTCATACTTAGTACGTACAAGGAAGTAATAATATTTTAAGAAGAAAAATTCTCTTGTTAAGTGTTTATAATTTTAAATTTCTAAAAAAGAAAATTTTAAATTTTATTCTAATGATTTTTTTGCAAATGAATGTCCAAGTAGAAGTTTACATAGAAATGTGAAAGATGACGATGAGGAAGAAAAGTAAAGGAGATGATATTTGCTATTATATCTAAATTATCAGATTGGCAAACTATTTATAATAAGAATTTACATTATTTATATTATTGTATTTTCTCATTATTTGAGGGTATATTTTTATATTTTGTTCTTTGATATACTACCAAATAGCAACAATTCTTCACCCAAGTCACCTTGTAGGCACAATCGAAGAGCTAGATGTTACTTGCTGTAGACAATGGGAACTTGTTACCATCCAACTTGCACACATTGTTGTCGACTAACGAGACATTTAACCTCCTTTGTTTTTTGCAGGATCTATTTACTCCAACTTATTTATCAATTTATATTCTCTAGGGGTGATTGCACCAACAACTTTTATTTTTATTACACTCATCTTTTTTACAATGTTCTCTATCAGTACTCTTAGTTGATATCTCCATGGATGGTATTTGTTGAAACCTCTTCTTATGGATCTCATTAGTGCTTTATATGATATGAATCTTGTTGCCTATTATGTGTATAATTTGCAATACTATCGCTTTCAAATATTAATCTTGATCCTTTTGTGTCATACACAACTTTTGGGCAACAAAACCTTTGATAACTTCATCTTTGGTTAAATTTCATATACGCTAACTATTTATTTATAAGAATTTATATTTTTTTTACTATTGTTATATTTTATCATTATTTTAGATATTCTCATTTATTATTATTTTATTTTCCTGTGCATATATGGAGACACATGAATGCTTGTAATACAAAGACAATTTAGTAGAGATGTAAACATTTACAATTTTTTGTTCTATCATTAATTTTTAATTTGATCATGCAATAAGTGATTCAAATAAGTTTTTTTCCTTTTCGGGAATGCTCTTTACATTTTATGAGATAGTATTGACTACCATAAAGTTAAATTTGCTTGGAATGGAACTCCTTTTTCAATCTTATTTTAAACTTGATGCTATATTCTAAGCTTATCTTCGATAGAAGGTGTATGGATATTGTGGTTTCTTCACGTATTGATAATTTGAAATTAAAACCTAAATAATGTGTATTAAAATTGCATGGGTGGATAATTTTTTAATTCTTGTAATACAAAGCTATTTGGCACCTATTCATCTTTCTATGTTTAGTAATTACTTTTGATTTGATATTTTACTTATGGATGTATCATACTACTTTTTGTTGTACATGGTCATATAATGTAGATGTTGTTTATTTAGAAGAATTTAAGACATTTGAAATGTCGGAAGTAGAATCATTTAGAGATATGCTTGTCAGCTCAGCAACAGAAAAAAAAAATCTTTTAATAAGTTGAATGAAAAAAACTCATTCCTTGGTCAACATGTTTTTGAAAAATGAGGTTTAGAACGTGATGTGTTCCTTGATGGCTGTATAATCTATATGTATTGTATTGGTAAGATTCAAATATACCTAAATATGTTGATCAAGTATTATTTGATTTTTAATAGTTATGTACTGATGATATTTCAGCGAATTACCAAAAAAGCTCACATGATGCTATTAATTTAATTTATGGATCACCTTTACCTTCCACATTATAGAATGAATTCAATTAAAGATGTCGAACTTAAATAAAGTAGATGAATTCAATTAAAGAATGCATTTAAGTTCTTGTGCAGTTCATATGTTTACTTGCACGTAAGTTAGATGATACTTGGTGCATTTTAGTAGACAATAGAGCACCCATGCATTTATATTATACACTAACCTTTATGTTACTTAAGTATGACAACAAATTTGTAGTTAGAGATGACTATCTTTTTAAGGTAATTCGTATGGTTATAGTTGATTTTCCTTATAGAGATTTCTTAATTTTGAAAGTTCATGTTGGTAATGGTGCATCCACTTGGATAATTGTAAAACTAGATGTAATATTTGTAGTTTTAAAATGCATGACTTGTCAATCAATTAAAGTTAAAGAAGAAAGATTTATGTACTTCTACCTAGTTCTTATAAAACATTGTTGTTGAAAGAATTTTCTGCTGGGATTGTTAGGAACTCTAAAATGAATAATCAACCTTGTATTAGTGGATTGTTTATTCATTTATCTTATTCTATTTATTGTGATATGATTGCAGTTGTGACACACCGAAAATAGAATTAATTATATTTTGATGAAATTTTTTTATTGAATGAATTATTTGAAGTAATTTTATCTGATAGAGATACAAAATTTATGTGTTATTTATGAAAATTTTAAGCAAAAAAATTGAGATTCCATATGAAGTTTTCAACTCTTTGTCATGCACAAATTTAAATATTCAATAAAAATTTTGGGTTATTTGTTTTTATGTATGATATGTGAGCATAACTCTAGTTTGGCATTGATATTACATAGATTTCAACAAAAGTGGATTTTTAAGTGAACCCCTTGTTAAATCTAGTCAGTGAAGCACATCATTTGCTCAGTGTATATGCATAATTTGCATGAAAAATTTTATCAGAAATATGCTATTAACGGTTGTAATTATATGTTTGTTGTAGATGTGAACATGTGATATGTGGAGTTCAAGCATTACGATTAGGCAGTTATCCGTTTAAATCTTGAAAGCTTTTTAGAAGTAATATTCAAGGAATTAACTATGTGATATTTAAAAGATCATATTAAATCGTACAACAATGTGGGGTGAATATTTACAAATTGAAAATCCTGCTTGGTATTAGTCTATTTTTAATCTTCTGGTTGTATTTTATATGATGAACTATCAATCAGTGCTTCCTCTCTTTATCATATCTCATTTCGGGTTGACTTGCAACCTATTATTTGCACAAATTTTAAGTGATTGTTAATTTTGTTTCTTAAATTTTGATGAAATTATGTGCAATACCGATGATGAATATCAAAAGTATCATGTTTGCTTGTGAAATTCGACTTTATATGGGAAAACACATGTATATCTCTACAAGAAGGGCAACGGTTATTCACAAATCTATCTGACGAATATCAACCAAACAATTGTAGAAGCCAAACTTTTGAATGTGCCATAACTAATTTGAACCTCAGAATATCAAAGCTGACAATCATTTTGAAATCAAATGTTTGTCTTTATAATAAAATCTGCAAAAAATTAACTTTTTTCTGAAATTTCTTATTATTATTAAATTTTTGTACTTTAGGTGTTTGAATTTGTTTACAATGTTATCCTATTATAAACATCTATTGGTAATTTCCTACTTGGTGATCTTCTTTTAGAGTTATTTGGCCGTTGGCAACCAATCAATTTGGTTATTAATGGTGTTTAGTTTTTTGTTGATTTGTCGTGATGATTAAGGATTTGTGGTATGCCCATAACTCGTTGGTTGTTGAATAAATTTAATAGTTGGATACGTAATATCTTCTGCTTTTGGGATTTTCAGTTACTTGATCTAGGAAGAAATTTAAATAAATTTTGGAGAAGTTAGATGTGCAAAATTTGAAAGTTATACCATTATCATTTGGTTTTTGGCAAGGAGAATTATTATCTCACATTACATGAGAACTCATTGCGTTCTAAAAATTTTAGATGGTTGGCTTATTGATCATTTAAACTCGAGACATTTGAAATGATCTTAATATGAACGGTAGCATACTGGATCAAGCTATCTTTCATATTTTTTTCATGCGAGCTAATCGGCTTCTAATCACAGGGATCATACATACATCATAAACAGCTTAAAGCCGCACAAGGTGTGAAAATTTCTGCCCAGGTACTGTCGATCATTCTTACAAGATTCAACCTTTTATGTAACGATAACAACATAAATTGATCAAGATTTTTTATTTTCAGGGCCTCGAACATGCTATTGCAGGCACTGCCTTATACGCCGTAAAACCCGGTGACGACATCGAAGCCATAAAGGATGCTGTAATGCATGATGTGAACAAAGTAATGAGTCGGATCGACAAGAGCGGAGAGGGTGTTTATGTTCAAGCCTCGACTTTAGGCTCTCTCGAAGCACTAACAGAGTTCCTAAAGAGCCCCGCCGTTAATATTCCCTTTAGTGACTTTAGTATCGGTCCGGTGCACAAGAAGGATGTTATGAAGGCGAGTGTTATGCTTGAGAGGAAGAAGGAATATGCAACTATCTTAGCTTTTGATGTTAAAGTGATGCCAGAGGCACGGGAGCTCGCGGAGGAGTCGGGTGTGAGGATTTTTGTGGCGGATATAATCTATCACTTATTTGATCAGTTCAAGGCTTATATCGATAATTTAAGGGAGGAGAAGAAGAAGCAGAGTGCAGAGGAGGCTGTCTTCCCATGTGTTCTTAAGATCATGCCGAATTGTGTTTTCAACAAGAAGGATCCTATAGTTTTGGGGGTGAATGTTCTTGAAGGTATTGCGAAGGTATTATTCTTCATTTCTCTCAGCCAATCTTTTTCAATGGGGGATTTTCATATGCGAAAAGTGTTAAAATGATCCTAGATTCTTTTTAGAGGTTCATGTTAGTCCCGAGTCAATAAAAAGGTCATATTAATTATTATTATTTATTTATGGGGGCTAATGGGGTCCAACGTGGGGACCATTTTGGCCCAAGTTAAAAAGGTACGAGGACTACTTGGCACTTTTATAGACTTTGGGCCAAAATGACCCCATGCAAATAATATTGGGGGGGGTGCTATTTTGGCATTCACTCATTTCTCCATACATAACATCAAAATCTTTCTTATTTGTAGAACTAACCTCCATGTTAAATCACTAAACTCATATTTTTACGCATGTTAGATGACTTGAACATTGTTCATTTGACAAAAGTGAAAATTGCATGATGTGATTTATTGTGAGTTTTGATATTTTGTGTAAATTTGACTTTGGAGGTTTGAGGTTGTTATATATTCGGCAATTTTTTTTTATTGTTGCATGATTTGAAAATTTTTAATGAGAAAATGGGTTATTCCTTCCAATTTAACAATATATAATTAATTGAAAAACCATCTAGGATATCCATAAAATGTTAATAAATAATTATATTTCCTGCTTTTCCTTATATCATTTGCGACTCAATACTCCTGAAATTAACGTGAATTTCAGATCGGAACCCCAATTTGCATTCCTTCGAGGGACTTCATCGATATAGGAAGAATTGCTTCGATCGAGATAAACCACAAGCAGGTTGATGTGGCTACAAAAGATCAAAAAGTAGCCATTAAGGTGTGCACCACAAACCCTGAACCCTATTTATTGTCATTGCAGCAGCTCTTACATGCTTAAAATTAAATTAAAAAAATAAAGTAAAACTCCTTTTACATGTTTACCTGCACAGATAGTAAGCAACAATGCTGAAGAACAACAGAAGATGTTTGGAAGGCATTTTGAAATAGAAGATGAGCTCGTTAGTCACATCTCAAGAAGATCCATAGATGTACTAAAGACAAATTACCGGGTAATAATCTTTGAATCTCATCCCCTTCAAAAACCTGACCATAATATTCTGAGCCAATTATCAAAGCATGAACATGATCGGCATGCCTTTTTATCTGTTTTTATATAAATGCATTCTTTTTATTTTTTCTTAGGATGATTTGTCCAATGATGAATGGAGGCTAGTAGTCAAATTAAAGAATGTTTTCAAGATACCTTGATTCAAGGAATGAGATGCAGTGGGTGCTGAACTTATCCTCATGTTGGGTCGGGTCGGGTCGGGTCGGGTCAGGTGAAGCTCGAATAATTGTGTCTTTTGACTGCGAAGGTAATTCCAATGAATCCACCAGAGCTCAAGGCCATCCATTAAGCACACACACACCAGCATAGTCTGCTGCATAAACAATTCATGATCATCCTCACATGTTACTTTTCCTTTTTTTTTTACTGTCCTTTCTCCCTTAATTTTCAAAAAAAATTTGAGGGTAAATTTTCCCCTACCCCTTTATCTGTTGGCAGTTTTTTTTTTTTTTTTTTTTTTTTTTTTGGGTTTGTGAGAATGGGCAAGTACCTGATTGGGGGGGTATCAGATGTTGTTCAATTTTCGCATGATTTATTATTTTATTTTTGTAAAATACTACGGTTACATTACTTGTACTTTTTTTTAATGAGTTTGCACCTTGAAATGATATTTGTTTTCTTTTCCAGTTGCTATAATAATTTTACATTTGAATCAAATTTTAAACTGAAATTTAGTTCAAGGATAGGAACATGCCAAAGAAACAAATTAGGGAAATTTACATTCACACCACAAGATTCTTTTTGTATTTACGTATATAACCCCCAAACTTTGATGTTTACACAGCATTTTAGTGTCATAAATTTATTCATGAAAAAGATGTATTTTACTGTTTTAACAAAGATAGTGATTGGGGTTTGTTTAAGATTTGTGTGGTATGCATATACATATGAATGTTTGGGTGTTGCATGTGTAAATACAAAAGAATTATATAAATACCTCAAAAGCTTTTATCTATGGTCCAAACAGCATGAGGGGAAACATTTCAAATCTTCTTTTAAAATCTCCATGGTGCACTCACAAGGCTAGGTTTTGTTTCTGCTTTTAATCATGCACTAACAACATTAATTTCAATGTATTAAATTTATCTAATTATTAATTAAATAACTAAATTTTTTTTAAAAATTATATATTATATGACTTTTTTGTTTGATAAAAAAAATTAATTATTAAGGAATTATATATAATGCCTTTAATAAGTGCACTTTTTAAATGCAAATTCATTCCAAAATAAATATGTCCTAGCTAAATTTAAATTATAATATATATTTTTTTTCAAAATCTCTCATTTTATCTCCACTCATGAGAATGTTCTGCACGCACATTCTTTATCTCCACTATTTAATATGTTGAACCCCATTTTCCCTTTCTTTTGACCTTCATGAACTCTTTGGGTTGACTTTAAAGAACCCGATGGCGACTCCCTGGAAGCACAACGGTCTGACCAACCCACTTCCCATGAATTCCCGCCAATGGAATGAAGACACGTCATCCCATTTCTTGCCTTCTTAATGCCGACTAACAAGTCAACCCATCGGGTGTCCCCTTAAGTCTCTAGTCAAAGCGACGCGTGGACTTCCACCCAGATAGCTGTGTGGCCACAATGCCACTTGGATCTCAGTGCCTTCAATCAATTTTCTGCAATTTTCTTATGCCACTTGGATCTCAGTGCCTTCAATCAATTTTCTTATTAAATTTTTTAAATTTTTTAAATTTTTTATGGTGCTTTGTTCAAAGAGATAATTTAATTTGTCAAATAAAGAAATGATTGAGATGATAATGGAAGAGATGGTGATCCGGTTATGGGCAAAATAAACAAACAAAAAGAGCAATATCATGAGCAACATAAAGTTCTTTGCCCCCAATAGCCCGTCAAAAAGACAAAGCATCATTTTTGGTGCATTTGCGTATATACCACACAATTCTCACACATTTATGACACCTAAATTTTGATATTTATATTTTAAACACTTTAATCTTTTCTACCACCTAAAAGTATTTTTACTGGTTAAACTTTTAAATGTAAAATTCATATTGTTGATGTATGGATAGAGTGCTATAGATATAAAAAATAGGTGTTGGAATTGTAAATATATAAGAATTATATGGAACGTATGTAAATTTTTCTTGAATTTTTAATAAATATAAATTAAATTATGGGCGGTTTTACACAGTGCGTGTGGAGCGGGTTTTTTTAAATCTACCCTCAAAAGTGTTAAAGTTAGTCCTCAAACGCTGTTAATGAGGGTTTAATTAATTATCATCAGCTATTTCAACCTATATTAAAAGAATATGAGGACTAAAATTATACTTTTATTATTGATGCGTGCTAAAGGCTTCACGGAGGTAGAGTAAAAGATTATCGTCATCGTATTGCTCGAAGATTTAGCACAAACTCGGATAAAAAAAAAAAAAACAATAAGTAGAGACACTAGAAGTGTTTACGAGAAAAACTCGGAAAAAAGAAAAAACCACAAGGTCTGACCAAGTTAAAGAGATCCACTATAAACTAAAGATTACAAATACAACCCTTTATCCCACAGAAGATAAATGGTTGCAAAGTCTCCATAGTTACAACGTTGACGTGCGGATGAATTTGTTGCAAGGAGTGAGTGCTATAGATAGAGATCTGCGAAAACCAATAGGTGGCAGTTGACGGTGGTGGGCAGTGGTCGACCGATAGAGATCGGAAGCGGCCAACAGTCGATGGTCGACAGTGGTCATAGGTGGTCTACGACGGTTAGTGGCGGTTGATGGCAGTCGGCGACAATCAACAACGACAAGAGTGATGCTAAACTTTAGCTCTTTCTCAAAGCTTCAAGTTCTTCCTCAAGCCTCAAGCCTCAAGCCCTCCTAAACTCTCAAGCTCTCTCCAATTTTCATGAGAGGTGCAGGGTTCTGTTTAGAGAGTTCAAAGTGCAATTAATGCAAAAATATGAATCATTTTGATGGAAGACTCGAAAGCTTCCCTTGATCATATGACATTTGATCGGATGACTCAAAAAGTTATCCTGTGATCCGTGTCTTGCATCAAGATATCTGCCGATAACGAAAATTTGTTGATAGCGTATTAATTATGAACTCTGAAACAAAAATGACTACTTTCACTATTTTCTTCTTTATTTATTTATGAAAGAGTGACATATGCATGTGCTCCGTTTATGGTAGAGCTTTTAAGTGACCACATTAGCATGCGCATGACCGTGTGGGTGCAGGATAAGTGGAGCGGCGTTGGTGGTCATTTCACCATGTTAAGACCATCGCAGCTGGTTCACATTAAGCTATATTGTGACGTTTCTTATTAGTGGCATAATCCGAATTTAGGGTGGAAGAGAGAATGATTTATTAAAATAATTAATTATATATAACATAAATATTGAATATATTTTAAAAGCTGCAAGGCTTTTTTACTTCACATTCTATCAATTCCAAAGAGCATTGAGTAGAGAGATGTAATCCGTTTAACGCAATCAAAATAATTAGTTTAAGAAAGTTATTAATATTTTTTTTCTCATTAATTATTAAATTTAGCTAAAAAATTATCTTGCATGAAAAGATTATGTAATTTATAATTAATCTATGGTCTACATATATAGGTTTGAATGTGGCCCTTATATGCATTCCACCAGACACATGGATGCGAGGCAGGGGATAGAAGAAGAAGAAGAAGACATGAGTTTGAGTTTATTAGACTACTAGTTGTGGAGCCTTTAGTGATTTAAAGGTATAGGTCCCACTACTATGATGAATAAGAGAAAGAGCTCAAGTGGGAAAAAGGAAATGTGAGGGCTTTATGTGTGGCCAACTTATCCCTTGGTTTTAGGATTTTTTTTTCCCTTTGTTTCTTTGTCATCTACATGAAGGAGGAGAGTACTAATTATGAACACTGCGGTCTACCTAGGGTTAGGGTTTTGGCTTTGGCTTTAGCTTTAGCTTTGACATGACTTTGATGGGTTGGAGAGCAGGGAGCAAAGCATTGCTATCTTGTTTGTCACTTCTAGGTGAGGGCAATAGAGGAGCTCAATATAATGGTCTAGATTGTAGCTAGGCTCATTAGATGCTACATATATATATATATTTTTTTCGAGAGAGGGAAGTGGTGTGAGTTGTAATGGAAAAGGTGCACGCTAGATCATGCGTAAATAAGGACTTTAAAACTTTATGTCATTAATGTTTTAATTTTTTTATTTATAACAAAAAGGAACACAACTATTGATTCGTTAATTGTAAATTGAAGGATATCGAGCAATAAGAAGGATGCATCGTAGATTAATCTCTATATTGCAATTATAAGCAGGGGGGGGTGAAGATTTTTTTTTTCTTTTTTCGAGTAGATTATAATGTCACAAGGATGAGATGAATCTAATCAAACTCCTCTCTCTCTCTCTCTCTCTCTCTCTCTCTCTCTCTCTCTCTCCCTCCCTCCTCTTCCTCCTCCTCCTCTCTCCCTCCACTTTTGGCTTTTAGGGAAGCATCATCACAACGAGTAGGAAGGACCCTGCCAAAACAAGATAGTCCTCGAGATTAGAATCTTATCTTTGTGATTTTAATGAAAGTTTTCATGTGAAGGCTTTATATAAAAAAATAAAGAAAAGAGGCGCCAAATTTTAAATTTATGTAATGGTTAATTGATATTTTTATTCAAAATATTTTGTTAGCTCTATGATATGGGATTAAACCTAAAATTTTACTTTTCATACAATCTTCTTATCATATCAGTGTTGTAACCATCACACTAGCAAAAGAAGCGTGCAAAATCACACTCTCTACACCAAACATTACCCAAAAGGGCATAAAAAGGTTAGCAATTGCATTTTTTATTCGAAACCACTTTTCATCTTTTGTCAGACTTTAAATCGAGCACCATCTCTAATACACCAACTTAGTTACTGTTAGAATGCAATGCATGCATTAATTTATTCTTGAAAATTGACAAAAGAGAGCTATGTTGGAGCTCTTAATGTCTAAAGTGGATGCTTGATTGGAAAATGGCTTGCTCGTGGCCATTAACTATATTATCTTCTGATCTTAGATGTATAGGAGCGTAACCATATTATATAGCCTTTTTTATCGTCGTATATATAATATAAAGTAGAAAGGTGCCGACCTATTTTTACTTTTAAGACTAAGAATATTTGAAAATGAGGGATTTAGATAGTAAGCTTGAGATCCTAAATTCCCTTAAATAATTATTACTAAATAATCTAAAACAATAATTTATTTTGTTTATTATTACAGTATCAAAAGGCTAATATAATACAGCACAACATAAAGTCATAGGCATCATAATGCCCTCTAGAGCAGCAGCCATTTCCCAGAATATATTCTTTCTTATTTAGCTATAGTAGCTGTAACTATTTATTAAAATTATTATAAAAAATGTTTCTAAGTATTA